ATTCTGCTCTGATCGTATCACAGCGGAGAAAGACTTGAATAATTATGAGTCATTTTAGCCCGTAGCAAGGTGCCACTTCCGAACAAATCCTTTGAATTCGGGCAGCCTTACAACGCTAGCCAGTGAACAGTGCGCAGTAGAATTAATTATGCTCTTCTTTGTGCCGCTTCCTCGCTAATCGGGATCTTCAGCTGCAGTAAGATCTATTCAATACATTTCTCCCGTCGCTGATGGTAAAGCGAGGAGAATATGGGAAAATGCTCATTTGCGCAGCGATAAGATGAAAGACACATCCCTTTAGCCCCGTTTGAATCTGTGCAGGAAATCATTCATTAATGTTTGTTAAGTATGACAATCTAGCCAGGCCAGATCTACATACTCCAGACGGCATCGCATGGAGAGATAACGCAGGCCAGCAGCAGCCAGAAGAGAGCACAGCCAGTTCCTGTAATGATGGGGAATTTATGGGCCTTTAAAGAGATAGTGCCGAGGCCTTCCACTAATCACACACTCCACCGGGGTGCTGGGTGGGATTTTGCTGGGTTATTTTCCTTTTTTCTTGTCCGTACTGGAGGCATTTGAATTTTTTTTGTAATCAGCTTCCGAGAGCTGCATTCCACTGCAGATTATTGGGCGGAAAAGCGAAACTGCAGACTTTGTTTGAGTATTTGTTGTACAGCTGTCTCTAGTTTTTACAGGGAAATCTGTTTATTTAACAGCAGTTCACTTTATAAAGTCCTCAATTACCACTGCTTTAAATGGAGGGGAAATATTGGCTTCCTAAGTGGCCACCAATCACCAAGCATAACAAAATTAGCACTTTATCTTCAAAACACACAGGATACATAATTCAAAAGTTCCCATTATTAGAAAACAATTCAACGAGGCAATTTTGGTCATGTAATATCTAGAGCCGTTTTTCTCTTTTTGCTCACATTAAGAAAGTATTTAGCTTTATTAAACATACAGTACACACAGAGGGAACAGAAATGGGTACATTGCTAACAACAGACACATCCAGTTTTACTGAAAAATAATTTTTGTACTCTTGATAAATGGATACCCAAAACCTTTACAAAAAGGTACTGTGGTGGTAACATTATACATTAATAGCATCAGATACTTCGATATACTGTATTCAGGACCATGCTACTGTGTGAGCATGAAATGCTCTTTATAACTATTTTACTTCATAATCTGATGTTTTCTTGGAATAAAATAGGATGTTCAATGAGAAAAAAATTGGGTAGATCCTTTGGGAATTGATTGGATTGTGAAAAGTTGTGTTATGTACCAGAATGGAGGAGAAATAATAAAAAAAGAGAAAAAAAATTGAATAACTGAAAAATTAGAGGTACTCATGATGCCAGCCAAACACAATAAAAAATGTTGTTTAATTTTACTGAAATATTTATTTATTTAAATTAATGTGTACTGCAAATTTGATTTAATGTTTTTTTATTATTATTATTTTTATATCTACTCCAAGGTGGGTGAAAAAAATATTATGGTACTATCACAGTAAAAAAAAAAAAATCACATTACCATGGTAGCGTGCCAAAATTATGAAAAAAAAAAACATGGTACCATATATTTGGTGCAAAATATATGCGGGGATATGACCGTTGAAATAGTTATTTTCAGTGAGAGCAATAGGCAATATTTATTATATGTAGTCTATTCTTTTAACCACGTTGTTTTTCCATTTAGAATACAAAATCATTTTTTAGCATACTGAATGCTTTTTTTTTTTTTTTTTTCCTGCACAGATACTGTGTTTATAGGTGAATTTTTCTGTGGACGTCTGTGCATGTGTGGTCATTCACTATCTAGACTAAAGTATTTGTCTATTTGATCTTTCTGTCAGTCTCTCTCAGTTTGTTGGGATTAGAAAGCTCAGATCTCCTTAAAATCACCCTCACCAGATTGACATTTTCAAGGGCTTCCTTGGTAGAACAATGCTGAGAGGAAGAGAAAAGCCAATATGACTTTGTGTCTACCTTGCTGCAGGAGCTGTTTGTGTAAATCGCCTATAAGCTTATTGACCCGCATGCATGTCACTGCCATTAGACAGAACAGAGGAGCTGCGATCTGATTGGCTGATTTCTCACTAACTCTATCCTAATGTCTGACATATGCATGCATGGTTGAACGCACGCATGCAAACAACATCTTGGCGCACAGATCAATCTCTTACTCTTTTTCTTTTTTAGACCAGTGAGCAGAGGGGCTGTAAACCTTATGTCTGTTCCACCTCATTTGACACGGATTTAAACTCTGTTTCGAACCCTAGTGAGCTGACTCTACAAAGACAGCTACCTTCCTAGGCAGCATCCTAATTGTCAGAAGTGACTGATTTGAAACGCTTTTCACAAGCAGCAATTCATTCAATGGTCACTCACACACATCACACAAAAGTCTTGGCAAGCTTAAAGTTCATTCCAATTCCATTAGGGTGACCATACGTGCCATTTTCCCAGGACGCGTCCTGGCAAGGATTTGTTTTGGCTTTGTTTTCCTGTTTTCATGCTTGCTGAAGGTAATGATCGAAAAGTAGTTTGACCAATAACATGCAAGTATTGTACATAATGGACCAATCATGGCGTGTGAGAAGGTGGGATCTATGGTCAAAGCGATGCAATTATGCGTACATATTAGGTGTGTTCGACTTAAAAGCAGTGCGGCTCAGACCGATCAGTGTTTGACATCAAAGTACCTCGAGAGCGTTTCGAAAGCATAACCGTCTGTGTGGTACTTCGATGTCATACACCGATCGGTCTGCACACGCAAACAAAGCCAAAACCTAGATATTTTAGGCAATATAGCACGTATGGCACGTATGGTCACCCTAATTCCATTATAGGCATTAGCATGTTGCTAAGCTAATGACTCAATGCTCTAATTAACATAAAAACACACGGCACACATAAATATTGGATTAAATACTTAATACACATAAATATTAAATCTAAATTAGTAAGTCCATCCGATAAAGATGGTTTTAGATGTGTTTGAAAGAATATACTATTTATGTATTTTTAAAATAATTTGAATAGTCCTTTTCTCCTTCTGATCTAGTTTATTTAATCTTGACATTGTGTACTAAGAATATTGTTGGTTCTAATGATAAATTGTTTGTGATGCTACACATTTGTAAGTTGCTTTGGATAAATGATTAAATGTAAATGTACGATTGGAGTTTGTTTTTTAAAGGATAGCGAATATGAAACTGTGTGATCGATGAAGTATGGAATTGATCTTGTGGACTTTTTTTTATCTTTATGAGTGCATGTATTTTTTTCTAGCCATATATAAAAAATACAATGTAATGTCCATTTATGTCAAGTGCTATACATCAGATGAATGAATGAATGAATGAATGAATGAATTATTTCTTATTCTGAACAATTTTGATTATTACTTCTAAATTAAAAATTAATGTCAAATACACAGTAAATTATATTTTAATATAATATTATAATTGAAATACAAAAAGCTTGTCATTTATTTTTTAATCCAATAAATGCAGCCTTTGTGAGCATAAACACCTTTAAAAAAAATTAGCGAAGGGAACACAAACAATTTTAAAATAATAGCAGGTCACATGGTTTCATGCTCTAAACTTCAACAATTAAAAAACACATCTTTTCCAAAAGCACTTTCTATCTAACTAGCTAGCTTGTTCTGCTCTAGCATTTAGCTTGTATTGGTTTTCTCTTGAATGAATCACCTCTGCTTGTTTTATTCTGATTTGTAAGTCACTTTGGATGAAAGTGTCTGCTAAATTAATACATTTAGAAAAAAGACTGTTGGAGTGAATATCTGGGGCATTTTTTTCCCTGAGCCCTGGTTAATTTCTGACCCTGTTATTTATCTGCCTGCTGAGAAGCAAGATGGATATTTAACATGGAGGAATGCAAAAATACAGGCAAGATGTGTCCCAAACAAGAAATAAAACATATGTGTGGATTTTACAAAGCGTCAAAACTATATTCTGTTGCATGTCAGTGTTCTTCATTTTATGCAGGTCATTTCTGTTGCACTGTACCTGCTTGGCGCAATGTTTTCCCGGCGGATTCCCTCCATGTTCCTGAAAGAAACTTCATCAAGCGGCTGTGACACTTGTTCCCTGCGAGGTTGCCTGGGCGATTGTGTTTAAAATGCATTGCAAACGGTGTTAGATAGAAGGCAGAAAATCCTTAATCACTGCTTAATTAACGAATCATCTTGTAGCTTCATTTCCTGAGCGGTAATTAAACAGTTCCAAGACGTTTCGTTACAGGGCTTAACATGTTCGCTGGAGATCAAGGTAGAGCCTTTAATGTTATCTCACTGCCTTCCCAAACTCGCTACACTGGAAAGGAACTGTTGATATTGCCTTTTGTTATCCTTATGGTAATGCTCAATGAGTATGCTAAGGAGCTTCTCAAGGCCTGACAATACAAATAGTGAGGCACTTTTTAGCGAGTGAGGAGGACAGAATGAATAAAAAAAGCTGAGCCCTAGCAGGAACTTGCATGCAGGAAAATAGGTCAGAATGACCTCATGTGCAGTAAGTAGGGCAGCGTGGCCCTCTTCTCTCGCCCGGGTGTGCAGAGGCAAGCAAGAAGCTGCGATCCTTTTGGCCATGTTTACTGCCTGCCTTTGAAGTGAACCACGTCTTAACTGGCTTAAAACACACCGTGGCGAGAGAATTTGATCTTTAGATTAACCCATCCGGATGGACCAGTGTGTGTTTGAGGACCATGGTGAAGGCCGTTCCACCGCGTTAGAGGGTCGCAGAGACACTGCCATGAAGCATCTGTACTCAAACTGTGACTCCAGTGTGCTTTGTGGGACAAAATTATCATCCATCTATCTGTCTATCTATCTATCTATCTATGAAAACAATTGGAAATGAATGAAGTATCAAGTGTCAATATAAAGTGTAGACAAAACATGTTTACAGCTTCTGTTAAATGTACAATCACAAATATATGATTTATTTATTGTGTTTGTAGGGGAAGAGAACGGCAACAGAGAAACAGGAGAGACAGAGATGGAAACAGACAGTGAGAAGACCAGACACCCCCCTCTGGAGCCAGAGGAATGGGACGGTCCACGTAAGTGCATCATATTAAAGCACAGTGTTTGTGTTATATAACCATGAATTTTGACTATATGTTTCATAATTGTGACTTTATATCTCCAGTTCTCAATTTACATTAAGTAGCTGTACAGACAATATGTTTTCTGACTTACTGTTATTTCCTTTTGTATGGAAGCCCTTTTCAAACTGACAGTGATGGACAAGAAAGATAATTTTGTGACATTGGCAATAGCAACTTGTAAACTAAAAGACATGATGGGCTTTTAGTCCAAATGGGTTGACTTTGAGGTAATCTATATGCTAGAATTATCCCAAATGTTGATTAGTTAAACTTTTTACCAATGATATTTTATATATCATTGAAATACTCTTGTTTTTTTTTTTTATATTTTGATATAGTTCTTTATTTTTGTATTTTCCATATTCATTTTAATTTAAATTAAAGTTTTCATAATTGTATTTTTTTATTTTAATTTTTTCTATGTCTATATCATTTGTATTAATTTTTATTACATTTTTAATTTTAGTTATTTTAATACATCAAGTTAAACTAAATGAAAATGAGAAATGTTACTTTGGCAACTAACTGATTATA